ACCAGGGATCGCCAGTGGGCCAGGCCCGGAGGATGAGCTGCACTGGGAAGTCATTGCATGCCATGTTCCAGAGGTCCCCCGCGTTGCGCTCAGAAGGGAAAGGCTGGCCGTCGACCAGACTGGGGGGAACTGCTCCACCGTCGGCTACACGGGGATGAAGTTTTACGGGACAACACAACTACAGGCCGAAGCCCCGCTGCATCCGTCGGCGCCAGTGGGCCAGGCCCGGAGGATGAGCTGCACTGGGAAGTCATTGCATGCCATGTTCCAGAGGTCCCCCGCGTTGCGCTCAGAAGGGAAAGGCTGGCCGTCGACCAGACTGGGGGGAACTGCTCCACCGTCGGCTACACGGGGATGAAGTTTTACGGGACAACACAACTACAGGCCGAAGCCCCGCTGCATCCGTCGGGTCCTGGCTTGCCTCTGGCAGTCTTCCCTCGAAGGTCAGCTCCGTGCCTGCACTGCACCCAGACCAGAACACGCAAGGCGGCAGCTTTGGAAAGTAACTGACACGGCAGACGTACCACGGCCAAACCCCTTCCCCCAGGTCGGGGCAGCGTACAGCCGGGTTCCAGCTACCGGGGCAGTAACGGATCCGAGACACAGCCACGGTCGGAAAAGCTAGAGATCTGTCCGCACGCCACCCCCCCTAAGCCCCGTCCCCTGCCGGCTGGAGATTGCTCAGGTGTAAGGTATAAAAGGCCCACGGCTCGGGAATGTAAATGACGCCGGGATACTTCTTCCTGAGGATCTTGTCGTTCCACAGCCAAACCACCCAGGCGCCGATGAAGAGCAACGTAAGCATGAAGGAGTAGAAGAGGAAGAGTCCGTTGCTGTCCAAGACCAGCCCTTTCCGTTTCTGATGCATCACTAAGGCCATCATGGCAAAGAAAGTAAAAATGTAGAGGATGAAAATCTGCCCTTCCGTCACGAGATACCTACAAGGCAAAAATATTGTTTAGTGCAGTGGTCCCCAAGGCAGTGCCCGTGGGGGCCATGGCACCCGCCAGGGCATTTACATGCGCCCGCCAAGTGCTCGGGGCTGGCCCCGCCCCCGGGCGCACGGCACATGGGGAGCGCCGGCCTCGGGCGCACGCACCTGGACGCATGGCTATGGGGGGTGCCGGCCCCGGGCGTGCGATGAATTGGTAGCTCCGCCCCCAGATGCGCAGCGTATGGGGTCATCGCCCCCAGGAACGCGCCACATGCACGGCCCTGTCCCTGGGCGCCGTGCAGCTCCAAAAGGTTGGGGGCCACTGGTTTAGTGCCTCGGGGACCACGTAGCAATAACAATGCTTAGCACGTCTCCAGCTATGGGGAGACCCCACTCGGGACTTACAGCGGGACCTGCGCAGCTACCTGTCTCGTATCTTTGGGAAACTTTTCCCTTCCCAACCCTACTCCTTCTGGGGAGTGACTGGAGTTATTGACAAATGCAGAGGGGGAATCCGAGGCGGGGGCTGAGGGATTCCCCCGGAGGAAAGCCAGTATTTCTGGCTCCTCACCTCGTGCTCCGATCACTGCCTCATGCCTATGCCTATGGGTTTCATACATGAACAGATGTTTTCAACCCAACATTCCTCATGCAGCCATTGCAGCGCCAGGAATTTGAGAGTCATTGACTGTCATTGGCCAAGGCGAGGGAGAGTCCGAACGTGTAACACTCAAAGGTGAAGTTCGAAAACTCTCTCTACCGTGCGCATCTTTGTCCAGCCAGGGTGAAACTTCGCTGCAGGGCTGTGTCTTGGCGTTAGGCAAGTGTGAAAATGTCAACTAGATGTTAAATCAGTTAATGGGCATCACAAGTAACTCAACCTTTGAACCCTTGGGCTGGAAGGGACCTCAGGAGTCATCGAGTCCAGCTCCCTGCCCAAAGCAGGACCAACCCCGACTCAACCATCCCAGCCAGGGCTTTGTCAAGCCGGGACTTGAACACCTCTAGGGATGGAGATTCCAGCCCCTCCCTAGGGAACCTATCCCAGGGGTGTGACCCCCCCACCCCTAGGGAGCCCGGCCCCGCCCCCAGTGCGCATGCACAGCCCAGGCTCCGCCCCCGGGGCGCACGGCGCATGCGCTGCCCAGTCTCTGCTGCTGGCGCACGGCGCCTGACCGTGCAGGGCTCTGCAGCCGTGGGGGGAAGGGCGCTGTTGGCCGGCGCCGTGGGGATGCGGGGGGGCTGGCGGTGGGGCTGGGGGAGC